CCCCCTTTAAGTACAATTATATCGTTTATATATATTACATAATTGCAACAAAACATAATGTGTAATCATATTATTTCATGATATTCTTTAAATTGAGGCATCAAATAGGGGCTTTCCAAGTGCAGCCACTGGGGGTGGGAGGCCCCACAACCCTTCAGGAAAGGCTGCACAGACAGCGGCTGCCAGAGCGATGGGTTTTTCACACCAGGGAAGAGGTCAGGTAGGATGCCAGTAGAATGTGCTCCGGCCGCTGCAGCTCCTCATGACCATCTGGAAAGCGTTTTGCCAGCATGACAGATTGGCAAGGAGACTTGGGCATCAGGAAGACTGACCCCACTGCACCTCGGCAGCTTTGTGCAGGGCATCCTCTTCCAGGATGTGGATGGAATCCCAGCTGTGCTCCCAGATTTGTAGCAAGGCCACCAGCTTGGGAAGTCTGGGAGAGGGCAGGGAGGGGCCTTCATCACCCCGCCCAAGGTGGGAACCAGGACTCCTGCATGGCACCAGGGTGTCCTCTGATTGGCAGTGGTCCAGCTGTCCTCCCAGCAGTGCCACGTCAGTGTGAGTCTTCACGCCTTGTCCAGGGATTCAGGGAGAGAAGAGTACTGGCACTTTGCTGTGGAAACAGACAGGTGTCCTTCATTCCTCTGTCAAGGTGACATTTGTGAGTTTAATCAGAGCCCTCTGGGGGCAGCTATTCAACAAGTTACCAATGAACCCTACAGAAAAGGCATCAATGTCCTTTCTTCATTTCATGCATAAGACAAAGACTTCTGTGGGAAGAAGACCCTGAGAGTCACGTTTCAATCCTTCACACAACTTCGTCTGTTCACATCATGAGGAATTTACAGCCAGACTAGTAATGTGGCATTACTTTCACATTGCAAACTCCTTCTCTTTCTCTATCAATATTTGAAATTTGCATTTAGGTTTTAAACACATTTGCAATGATTTGGGCTTTTTCCACAGAAATGTATTTTCACTCTTCTCATCAGGTGTTTCCAGCTCCCAGCACGTCCTTCGCGCTCCCTTCCCTGGCCTCCCTCAGCTGGCTCCGTGGTAGCCTTGTGCCTCACTCTCGTGCTGGAGCCGCCTGCTGTGACACTGCTCTTGCTGTTTTTCAGTGTTGGCTCAGCTCAGGGTTGAGGCCAAATTCACAGAATCCAAAGGATGGAAACAGCAGGGAACGTCCTAGCTGGGTTCTGAGAATAGCCTGGGGACAGGCCTGTGATCTCTATCACTGCTGGGTGCGGGTGTGTCCCTACACCAGGGCTGCTTGGAGAGCAGAGTGGTTGGAGCAGCAGGGCTGGGGGAAGACTGATGGTGGTGGACTGGTCACTCATCTCCAGGTCCAGACCTCCAGGAGGGGCTCCTTTCCAGTTAGTGTCCCTTCCTGACTGGCCCGGCTGTTTGGGACACACAGCAGGACCTCACAGAATGCGAGCCGAGCCAGGGAGGCCCGTGTCTGAGCTGTCATTGTTTGTCTTCTGCAGCAATGCTGGGAGCTCCCTGTCCTCATGTCCCTTTCTGACATTCTACCCTGTGGATTTTAACTCTGCCCTGCATCTTTTGCTTTCTTGAAATCTCTCCGCCTCTTTCTTGCAATAGGGAGAGATTGGACCCTATTCAGGAACAGACAGTGGTGGCATTGCAAGGGTTTGCTGTCCACAGGAGTCAAGATTGTTAGTTGCAGCTTTGGTTTCCCAACCAAGGCATCTTGGCTCCCGCACAGGGCCTCCTGGCTCCTCTGCTCCCACAGAGTTTTCCTTCTTCAGCTCTTTTTCCCTGGTCCTGGTGCCCTCCCACTACAGCCTGGGTTCTCTATTTCTTCCTTATTGAAAATAGCAGGGCGTTTCTAGTGCCCTCCAGGCCCCGCAGGGTACATTAAGATCTGCACTTTCCTGGCATCCTTTGAATGCTACTGCCTTTGCCTCATTCTGCATCTTTTGAATAGGCCCCATTTTCATCTCTGCTCATCACCAAATGAAGCTGGACTTGCTCAGACATGGCCCCGCTCTCACCCCCTCCTGTAGGTTCAGATCCCTGCCTCACACCTCCGCTGTGCAGGTTGACACGCTCATTCCCCTTGGACAGCCTGAACCAATGTAGCACAAGAAAAACAACCATTTTCCTGGAAGCCCTGGTCCTGAGGCTCTCTGCCTCTGTCCCCTCTCCACCCCTCGGCTCCCATGGCCCCACATAGACTCTAGACCCTATTCAGGAACAGACAGTGGTGGCATTGCAAGGGTTTGCTGTCCGCAGGGGTCAAGATTCTGTCATTTGCAGCCTTGGTTTCTCAACCAAGGCATCTTGGCTCCTGCCTGGGGCCTCCTGGCACCTCTGCTCCCACAGTTTTCCTTCATCATAGTCTGCTGCCCCATAAGTCTGACTGCTGATCACACTTGTGACACCCCTTGTCAGTGACACCCCCTCTGAGAATGTGGATGAGACCATGCAAAGCTGAAGTCACCTGGTACCACCAGACTTAGCCATGCTGCTGGCCTGTGGGAAGGGAGACCCACTGTGGGCACAGCTGGGGCAAAACCACACGCTTGCACTGGAAGCTGCTGGTTGCCCTCTGCTCCTACCTCCTTGCCTTCTCCCGCAACAAGTGCCCCACATTCCAGCTGTGCACACGCCACCCAGATGATGACTGCATTTTCCAGTCTCCCTGGCAGCAGATGAGGCCGAGTTACTGAGTTCTGGCCAATAGGATGGGAGTGGAAGTGAGTGTGCAAATCCCAGGAGGGCAGGGTAGAAACACAACCCTTTACCTGCTTTCCCCCAGCTGGCCCAGTCCTGTGGCACCAAGGTGGGCATTGGAGGAGCAACAAGAGCAAAGGAAGCTGGGTTCCCTGTGCTCAATCTGCTGTGCCAGCCCAGGCTACTCCCTCTTAGACCATATAAAAAGAGGAAAATAAACTGCTATCTTGTTTAAGCTGCAAAGTTTGGGAATTTCTTTGTTATAGCAGCCTAACTCATACTCTACCTAGTACAGTGATCAGTAAATGGTACTTTCCCCTCTGTGTGCCTTGGAGGCAGGGGGGTGGGTGACACCATTATGGCCAGAGTTCCTGCTCTGCAGCCTTCCAGCTTCTCACCATGGTGAACCTGGGTCCTGTCTCTACCTGCTTTCTTAGCTTGCAGGCCAACACAGGTACTGCCCTTCTAGCCACAGAAATCACCAAGGATCAGAAAGGTGGTGGCTAGGGGGGTCTCTGAGGCAGGACCCCAGGCCAGGCACTGCAACAGACTCTCGATCCCCTTCTGGGCCAAGGCTATGCTGACATTGGGGCTGCAGTGGGAACCCTGGGAGTGCCGCATAGCTGGGCTCTGCATCCAGAGTCACTTACTTACCATGTGCCACCATGCTGCTGCCTGGGGCCTTTCACACAGCTCTGCAGGGTGAAGGAGCTGAAATCTAGAGAGGTCTAGGACACACATTAAGAGCTGAAGCCCAGGGTCAATAGGCAGTGCAGTCCCAGCAGCCCTGCTCCCTGAACTGTGCTGTGCTCCCCACAACTCAGCCAAGACCCCCAGGATGCACCATAAGTGTACACACACATGCAATTCAGGTGCAACCCTGGGGCCTAGACTAGGGGGGTCACTGAGACCATCCCCCATACACACTCCCAGCCCCAAGACAACAGCAGGCTGCTGGGACACATGCCCAAGGGAGGTGAGCAGCATGTCCGGCCGGTTCTTGGCACAGAAGGTGCATATGTTCCCAGGGTTATTCCACCTCCTGTGTCATCATCCTGACCAGACAACAGTCCTCCCTGTCCCTCTGACGTCCCTCTTATCTAGGGCTGCACTGCTTGTTTATGGATGAAGAAAGCCTACGTTAACAAGGCTGGAAATCAATGCCTTGCTTCCCTAGAGTGTGTTTGCCCACAAAGGGTACGTCTGGTCAGGGGCAAAGGACAGAGGTCACCAGGCCCAGTCTCTTCCTCAGGACCATGGCTAGTCAGGATAGGATGTCCATCCTTCCATCAGCTGTGCTGTGTGCTGGGCTGCTAGCGAGAACAGTGGCCTCTGCCCTCTGAGATGCAAGACTTCACACACACACCCACATTCAGACATCTGTCTGCTAGGAGCCCATGGGTGCCCTGCCCCCAGCCTTTAGATCTCCAGGGGTCTCACTGGGAAACACTTGGCCCAACTTGCATCCAGCTCTTATAAAGCAAGGGATCCTTCTAGAAGGTTTTTGTCTCCCACTGCACATGGGTGGGTGAACCAGGGCAGCCCTCTCACTGCGTACTTCACACCAGCTGAGCCACTGAAGCAGGCCCTGGTCAGCCTCCACCTCCTGGCCATTCCCTGTGGGGCTCATAGCCCCTTCTTATGCTTGGGCCCCCCACTGCCCCCACGCTCCAGCCAGCACAGGACCTGTGGATGGGTCCATCCTCAACTGTGGAACCACACAGCAAAGACCCCAGGCATGTTGGGGAGTTAGGGAGGATGGAGGACGGGGCGTAACTGCATATACTGGCCTCTCTGAGTCTCACCCTGCCTGCTCAGGTTCCTAACAGTTTCACAATTGCCCATGCTAGTAGGAAATGGCACAGCCACGTTCCTATGGGGGTAAATACTCTCCCAGGGCACAGCGAGCATACAGGGCATGCGGAATAGGTTTGGTGGACTGGATGAGGGTAAGAAGAGCAAGAAAGAGTCTTCAATAGCAGAGTAGGTGAGCCTGGCAGGACTGGCCAGGCCCGAGGTGGCTTCCCACAGGTGCTGCCGGAATGTGGGCTGGATTTGGGTTTACAGAACTCCAGGTCAGGAAACTGGGATGAGCAGAATCCCAGCGGCTGGCCTGGAGCTAAGCTGTGCGGGAACCCTACACTGCTGGACCAGGGCTGGACCCAAGGGGCCTTTCTATCCGTCCAAATACAAAACAGGGTCCCCTGAACTCTGCAAAGGCAGAGACATAGACTTGGCCCCAGAATCACCTGCACATCCGGCAAAGCAGAGGAAAAGAGCACATGAATGCCACAAGCTGTGAGTTCTTTTTCTTTTTATTGGCAAAGTAAATATATTTTTATGAAGGACCAAAGAAAATATACATAATTGTAACATATGTACACCAGCTTCACAGATTATTTTTAATTTCAAATTTACACAAATGTTGATATGTTATTAAAAGATATTTTATGTGGATGGACCTATGTACAGTTTATTTACATACATTCATAGGATGTGAAATAAACCTGTCAAAACAAGCTAGTTCATTTATTAATTTCTAGACAAAATAAGGAATGCATTTCTAAATCAGGGTTGGGAGGCTCTATCTAGTTCTCTCACACCCAGGACAGCCTGGCCCTCTCCTCCCAAGGCCACCCTAGAGGCTGGTGTCTGGATTTGTCTGGGAACTGGAGGAGGGGACATGTCCCTGGATACAGGCGCTTCTGGCTCTGTCTGCCCTGCACATTTAACTCAAGCACATGCACTGCCAGCCCCTCAGTGGGGGACACTTTTCACCTCTCTCCTGCATGAGGCCCCAGCCGCCTGGTACTGCCCTGCCCCTCCTGGGCTCTGCCCACACTCTCTGGTGATCATGCTGAGCCGGCATCTTGGACAAAGCCACCCTCACACCACAGTACAGCCCTAGACTTCTGGCCTACTTCCTCTTCCCCCAGCGTGACTCTCTCTGGGAACCAAACATTTCATAACTGCACATTTCACTTCCCCAAGCACTAAAGTTCTGGCCTTGGCCCAGGTGGGGAGCCCAGTGGGAGAAGGGCCAGGTCCCCAAAACTCTGCCTGCAACCAGTGGCTGCAGCAGAGGCCTGGCCACCGCCGAAAGGCACGAAGGCACAAAGGCACAAAGGCCTGCCTCCAGCCCCGTGTGCCAGGGCCCAGCCCCCAGGGACGCGGGTGCGAGGCTCTAAGTCCTCCCAAGAAAGGCAGCGGTTGGCGGGCCCTGGGTTCACACCTCCCAGGCTTCAGAAGGTGGGCTGGTAACATTGTCATGTTCCTCTGGAGGAGGCAAATAAATTATTGCTTAAAAAAAATGTGGCTGGGGTGGGGATCTGGGGTGAGGGACAGGCGGGGATGTGGGGCATTTTCAGTTCACAGAGCGCACGGAGCGGCTGCTCCGCGGGAAGCGGTGCACCTTGATGTGCTTGGAGAGGTGGTCGCTCCGCGCGAACTTCTTCTCGCACACGGGACACTGGTACGGCTTCACGCCCGAGTGCGAGCGCCTGTGCCGCGACAGCTCGTCAGAGCGTGAGAACCTGCGGGACACGGCGCAGTCAGCGATGCCCGACCCTGCCTGCCCCGACCCCACAAAGATGCGGGGATGCGAGGCGTGGGCCTGGCACTCACCCAAAGGATGGCTGCGCAGACCTGCGGTCTCTACAGGATTAGGAGAGGGTCCCCCATCTGCGTCGGTAAGGCTATACTAGTTCTCAAAATATCTTTTTTTTTTTTTTTTTTTTTTGAGACAGGGTCTCAAGTATAATTTGATTCTGATCAGAATTTTCACTGAATGCCTACCATGTGCCAGGTTTGATGTCAGATTTTTTTTTTTTGAGACAGGGTCTCACTCAATCACCCAGGCTGGAGTGCAGTGGCGTGATCGCAGCTTACTGGGCTCAATCAATCCTCCTCAGCCTCCAGAGTAGCTAGACTTACAGGTATGCCCAGCATGCCCAGCTAATTTTTGTTTTGTTTTGTTTTGTTTTTTAAGATCCAGGGCCTCCCTATGTTGCCCAGGCTGGTCTCAAACTCCTGGACTCAAGCTGCTTCGGCTTTCCAAAGTGCTGAGATTAAAGGTGTGAGCCACTACACCTGGCCTCAGATTACTTCTGAATCTACTGGTGAGCCACTGTCCCAAGCTGCTTCTGCCACCTCTCCAAGATGGAAAGAACTACAGTAAAGGCTTATGCAGGCACAGTGACAGCCAGAGAACTGTCTGACTGGGAACTGCCAGAGAAGCTGGTAAGAGCTCCCGACAGGAAAGGACCCCAAGGCTACCAGGGCCCAGGGCTTCCCTCCCATGACCCACCCAGAATGTAGGGGTCTCTGAGGCCATAGACGCACTCAGTCGCTCAGGCCCTGATGCTGGCTACCTCTCACCACCCTGGCCTCATCTTCCCCACTGGACCAGAACTCCACAGGGGCATCTGTGAAGGTCTCTACAGGGCAGCCCATCCTGAGGGGAAACTGAGGCCTGGGAGGAGGAAGCAGACTTCCTTTGCAGCACAGGGAGAGGGGTCCTCAGACTTGCTACCACCCACTCCTGGAACCAGCTGTGCTGGAAGCTGGATACTCTAAGGCAGCCCCAAATAAAGACTGACCCTGCAAAGTGTGTCTGGGAATTCAGGTGGCTTCCAACATCTCCCTTTCTTGGCCCCGCTAGCCGGGGAACAGGTACTCATGTGACAGGTAAGAGCCCAAGCTGCACCGAGGACCTGGACTGCTTGCCACCAACCTCAGAGTTTTGAGGCCCACCCCACCCCTGGCCTGGCAGCAGGACCCTCCCACCCCACCTGCCCCTCCCCCAACACACTATCCAGCTCTGTGCTCCACCTGCATTGACCTTTCCTTGGTCCTTCTTGCCACAGGACATTTGCACATATTGTTCCCTTTTTCTAGAATGTTCTTCCTTCCCCCTCCTTGCTCTCTCCTACCCATTCCTTAGAGCTCAGCTCGAATGTCACTTCCTCAGGAAATCCCTCTAGGACTGCATCCAATTCTAGGTTCCCATGCCATTACACACCTCTCTCTCTTCACTCTTTCTGCTGTTGTGATTTTAAATTATCTTCAACTTTTTAATGACCGTCAGTCTGTCCCACTAGACTGTCAGCTCCATGACGGAGGACACCCTGTGGTCTTCTCGTGACCAGCCCAATGCCTGGTATATTGTAGGTGCTGAGGGGGGGCATTTCAATGCAAAAGTGGGCACAGCAAGCAGCCCCAGGGGAACAGACACTGTCAAGGAGCAGTCCCAAAGCACGTGCACACACACATACAAACACATGTACAAATATGTGCCCATACATATGTACACACACACACACAAAAAAAAAAATATGTGTCCACACATACGCACACACACAGGGACACCAGGCCCAACACCTTTTCATGGCCACCCAGAAAGAGGCGGTGCCCAGAACAGCAGTCCCCAACCAGCGATTGGAAAGGGCTGGTGATGCCGCTGTGCCCTGACCCTGTGGGTGGAGGAGGAGAAGGACCCAGCAGAACATGCTCTGGACAAGGCACAGTGGGTGGCAGGAAGGCCTGCAGGAAGAGACAGGTACTCCAACCCACATCACAGGGCGGTGGTGGCACCAGGCACAGGGCAGCACTCTCAGCACATCTCCACACTAGGTGAAGCCCAACTGCCCTGCCTGCCAGAGGAAGAAACTGAAGCTCGGGGTGCTGAGGGCCTGATCCAGGGTCACTGACAAGACAGAGCCCCTCAGGCAGGAGCAAAGGTCTTAACACAGTCCCTTGCCCTGGTGATGGCAGATGACCGGGACTCCTCCACAGTGCCTGGCTGGGTAGTATGTGTCACAGGGCCCTGTGAGGAAATGGAACAAATGTGCCCTGGCAGCCAAAGCCAACACCTGCCCCCAGCTACAGCTGAGCACACAGCTTTTGAGCAGAGGAGCTGGCCCAGGGCAGGGGCAGGCAGAAAGCTGCAGACATGGAGTGCCACACCTCCCAAGCTGCAGCCCTGGGGTCACCCAGCATCTTGCTGGCCAGGGAGCAAGGATGAGCCAGCCCCATTGGACTGGCAAGACCATGGCAAGGGTTTAAAGAAACCAAGTCACACAGCCCAGGGGATAGGTTCCTGTCTTGACAGTTCCCATCCCAGTGGGTTCCCTGTATGGTCCATTCTGGGCCTCAATTTCCTCAATCATCCAATGAAAACTTTGGCATTCCTGCCCACCTTCCAAGATTCATCTCAGAGGCCATAGGTGGTAACACAGGGCCACAGAAGCTCCTTGGGCATGATGACACCCTGGGAAAGACAGGCAGCTGAGGCAGAACCAAGCTGGACAACATGTTGTCCTCGCCTGAACTCCCTCCCTGCTGCCAAAAGGTCCTGGCACCTAAGAGGACCTTCCCTGGGAACGGAGCCCTCAGAAGACCCCTGCCTCACCCCCGTATGGCACATTCTCCCAAACACCAGCCAACAGAGAGACCTGGGGACCACAGTGGGGGACAGGGAACCCGGTGAGGAAATGCAGCCCTTGTAGGCACTAAGCTCTGCCACTTAGTAACCAGGCAACCAGGAAAGTCGCCAAGCTCCCTGAGCCTCAGTTCCTCCACCTGGAACACAAAGGACCTATTCCTGAGGACTGTGAGGATTGTACAAGGCAACCAGTAGCAGTTTACAGCCCTGCTTAGCACGTGGCAATTATTCAAGCATCATGAGCTCTAATCATCTGCATGGAGTTGAGTGTAGGGCCCGGTTCCTGCTGAGGTCCTGCAGCAGCCAGGGAAGCACCATGCTTTGTGCTGCTGAGCTGTAGGGCAGCAAGTACACAGGGGTCCAGTGTCTCTCTAGAATAGCTATAATGTCAGGACCGGTACATACAGCACCTCTGTGTGAAGGCATCCCTTCCTTAAGACACTAACTCTCATCTGCCAGAAAGACATCATCGCAAATGGTCTAGTCTCAGAGATTGCAATGGGAATGGTGCTCATTCCCACTGCAATGGGAATTGTGCAGTTCACAACCTGCCCAACCATACCAGGGGCCTCTGCCTACAGAGGGAAGGAGGTCACAAAAAGCCTTATCACACAGGGGTCATGAAAGCAGGCTGGGAGCCGGACCCAGAGGTTTGAATCCTGTCCCTACCACTTCTTAGCACTGAGGCTCAGGAGAAGCCTGCAACTCCCTTTCTCTGTCCCCCACCACATCCACTGTGGACAACAAAGGTACCCACCCTGCAGGCTGCTGACAGTTAGTCATATTTATATTCACTGCAGCAGAAGGCATTCTTTCTGGATGGAATGGCTTGGCCATTCTAGAACAGGACGTTCTGCTGCAAGGAACAAAGGATGCCTGTGTCTGAGAGTGAGGCAAGGAAACTTCTAGGAAGGCAGGCAAGCAGCACTTCCCAGACGGCTGGATCAGAACCGGGAAAGCCTGCTCTCAGCCCTGTCGAGGGTGCCGAAATCACATTATCAGAGAAGGGAGAGGGAATACTTTCAGGACCAAAAGCAGAAGGAAGTGGAGGCTGAGTACCTGGGCAGGTGCTAACCTCGGAAGGGTGGGGGGGCACCATCCATTACACAAAGGGGAGACGGGGCTGAGGGGCCCTGGCTTATTCTCCAAGTACAGGACACAGTACCAGCCCAGACCCAGCCTTGGGGCAGGAAGAGCATCCCATTCATCAGGGCCACCAGGAAGAAGAGACGAGGCCTGAGAGTGGAGAGCTCCCACACGGGGAGTAGGTGAGGGTGCAGAGCTGCCACCCCAAACACCAGGCTGAGCTGCAAGTGGAGGTGGAGGTTTCCAATACCAGAACCAGCACCCTGCACAGGGGTGCAGAGAGAGGTCCCTGAGTCTGGGCAGACAGTCTCGGTTGAACTCCTGGCTCTGTGGCTTCTTGGCTGTCTGACTGTGGAGAATTTACCCAACTGTTCTGTGCTTTAATTCTCTCCTCTGTAAAATACAGACAACATGCTGATGTCTACTAATTTTGAGAATTACATAAATTAACATGCATGAATTTTGCTCAGAGCACTGTCTATGCATTAGAGGCCCTGATTATCTTAGTTGTGGTCATTAGCTCTTTTCCAATAGCCCAGAAGCATACTCTGACACCAGCTGGGAGCACTGGGAGGCTGCAGCAGGGCTGTGCTCGGGCTCACGCATGCAACCCAGATCCATGCTCACTAGCTATGTTCCTGTGGGCATGTGATGTGAGCAGTCTGTGCCTCAGTTTCCCCCTATGTGAAATGAAGATTGGTACCTACACTTTACTGGGAAGTTGCCAAGTACTTGAAGAGCTAATGTGAAAACCTTAAGCTGTCACTACAGCCTCAAGGGCAGGGATCATTCAAGACAGAGGGCACAGAGAGGGCCGATGCCCATGCAGGAGTCTGAGCCACAGAGGGGACGTCAGCATGGCTAGATCCCACTCAGTAAGGGGAAGAGACAGGCAAGCAGATTGTGTGGGCCTATAGGCCAGAATGAGAAGGTTGAATCGAAACTGAAGCACAGCAAAGTACACTTAAAGGTCTCAGAAGGTAATGAGTTCCCCATGGCAGGAAGTATGCAAGTTAGGCTAGTGGGTAGAGGGGGTTCCAGCTCTGAGAAACTTAGAATAGTACATACAGTGAGTAGTCAGTAAGTATGATATATAAATATCACCATCATCATCGTTACTTCCCCAGTCTTTTCCAGACCCAGCTGCCCCAAAGCGGGGTCCATCCTCCCTCCTGACTGCTGCAATGAGCTGCAGGGGCTCCTTCCACCTGACGCTCAGTTGAAGACTATCGTCACATTAAGTGACACAAGGATCCTGGGTACATCACCAGGGGTTCAGAATCCCTGAAAGCCAACTGAGGACTCCCCGCTTCCTCAGAAAAGCAGCCCTCCCTAGAGGCAGGTGCCCTCAGCTCCCAGCTGAACAGCGCCTCTGCCATGAATTGCCCCAAGAGGGCCAGACCCATTCCAAGGGACCTTGGGGAAAGCTGGGGGAGCCCTCAAGAAGCCCCGGGGCATGGCTGATGGCAGGGACAGCTCCTGGGGGCAGTGCCACTGTGATCTCACTGGGCCAGGCAAACACCACACCTTTTCCTGCCAAGTAGACCCTGGGCAGCATGACTAGTACCAGGGCTCAGATATGTCAGAGCTGAATCCCCTCACAAGTCCCCACTCTCTCATGTATGCCCCCTGCCATGAGGAACTCATTACCTCCTGAAGCCACTGTATGGAAGACTAAGACCTGCCTCACTGAGATACACCCTGGGCTGAAGGGCCTATCAGCTCTCTGGCTCTAAGACATCCTGGAAGAAGGCTGGCCTTGGATGAAGACCACACCTGCCCTCCTCAACGCCCTACCCAGCCTCACCGTGACTAGAGGAGCCACTTGCCAATGGTCAACCATGGCCAGGAGACGGCACTGACAGCTGAGCCCGCCTAGGGAGTCCAGAATGGTGCTCAGAGGGAGGCTGCCCAGCCTCTCTGCAGTCCCTGCCTGCCCCTACCAAGAGGAGAGAACATGCAGGGTCCCTGTGAGTAGGCGGCACCTCCACAATAGGCACCAGCCTTGTAGGGGCTGGAGAGAATGCCTTCATGGTCCCTCCTCAGAAACTGCCTTGTACGAGTTTGTATTCTTGTGATACAAACAGCAAGGAGGCCGCTGGAGAGCCCTGCACACCCACCCTGGGCTGTGAAGGGCCAGCTCTCCACTCAGCAGTCAGGACACTGAGGTTTGGAGGGGGACCACCCCCAGGGCACATGGCGTTGGTGCCTGACCCAGGCTCAGGCTCAAGACCACTGCCCCTCACACACCTGAGCCCCTGCTTCTCTGTGAAAGGTGTCAGGGTGCTTCCTGCTTTAACCAAGAGCACTCCTGGTCCTTCTCTCAGCTTCTCTGACCTTCCACACAGTGCCCCCACTACTGTGTCCTCCTCTCACAGGCAGCCTGTCAGCTCTGTGCCCACTTGGCAGGCCTGGGCATGAACTCAGGGACGTAGGGACACCAGGATGGAGACCTTGTGAGGACTCAGGGCGGGCTCTCATAGAAGCCTCTCCAGCCTGTCTGAATGAGGCGAGAGACAGGATAGACAGTGATGTCCTCGCTCAGGAAGGGCCTCCATAACCCTAGACACCATTCAGGAAAAGTCCCTTCTATGGCCAGATTGGCACTCAATGGAAAGATGCTACCAGTGCCACAACACACATCCACTCACAGCTCCCCATCCACGGCTCAGCCTCACCAGCCAGGACCTCTGCCCCAGACAACCGTCAGTAGCTCTCAGAACCAGAGTATGGTCAAGAAAACAAAAGCTGCAAACTGCTCCCAGGGTGCTGCACCCACACATAACACGTGCACACACACACACAGGCAGTCACACATGGGACAAAAACACCTAAGACGTGTGGTCAGGAACATGACCTCAGGAACCAGGAGGACCAAGGAAGCCTCCAAACACATATGGTCATATGACACAGACACAAAGAAAGCAAGATGCATACACATGTGGGCGTGCACACACAGCTACACACCTGCTGGCGAGGCGTAGGCCTGTATACACCCCCAGGTATACAGATGAGCATGTCCCGTCTCACACATGTAGCAGCAGCCACAGCAGCAAAGATGGGGAATGTGCCAGCAGCACCCGGCGCCCCCCAGCAGGCCAGAGATTCCTTCGGAATGGGGATCCTGAACTGGGGAGGGCTGGCTCTGGCACACCGGAGCATATGCGCTCTTGGCAAGCAGCCTACATTTCAGGAAAAGGGGACACCCCCTCCCAAGGAGGGTGAGCAGCAACTGGTCTCAGGGAAGGTTGCTGGGTAACCCTGGTCGGGCCGCTACCAGCTACCATTTGAGGGCTGGTTTCCCCACCGTGCCATGAAGACCAGAGAGCCTGGGTTCTGCCGCCTGTGACAGAACCACCGGCCAGCCTAGCCTCCCTCTCAGTTGTTCTTTGCAGCCTCCCAAATGTGCCTTCTTGTCCCCAGGGAGGAAGCACAGTCCAAGCCCAGCTGACATGTCCAGAGACATCTGTGAACGAAGCTAGTCCCACTGGTTGGGGAAGCAGCATTTTCAGAATGTGACCTCTCAAATCTGACCCCTGGATTCAAATCCCATTACAAAGCAGAGGGACACCTTGGTCGGAGCCCTGGTGTCCTGTGATGTAAGTTGGGAGTGACAGTGATACTTACCCTGCGGAGCTATGGGCCCAAAGGGAGCTGCTGCCTGGCCCCTAGCCCGCACTCACCCTTGCTCGCTAGCCCCTCAATCCCTGTCCTTATCAGACTGGATGGGGAGACCCAGCAGGGAGCACAGGCCAGGGAAGCCATTCCTGGCTATCAGGGAACTGGAGATCAGCTGGCTTCTGGCTTCAGGAACCAGAAGGGCCAAGGAAGCCTCCAGGCAACTATGCCACCTCTGGGCCTGCACCCACCCACCCCTCCCCTTTCTCATCCACCTTCTCCTAATGGTGGAAAATGGCCCTGCTGCACACTCAAGTGTGCAGACATGAGTGGCCATGCTCACCGCCCAGGTCTGTCACCCGCCATACTGACCTCCAGCCGCAGCCCGGCCAGGTGCAGGCGAAGGGCTTCTCGCCCGTGTGCCGGCGCAGGTGGGCCTTGAGGTGGCTGCTTTTGGTGTACATCTTGCTGCAGCCAGGGAAAGTACATTTGTGCATTTTGATGAGTTCTGCGGCTGGGTTCTTGGGGAACTTCTGGCCCACAAGGAGACCAGCAGGGCCAGGCCCCAGGGGTCCTGACCCGACAGGCTTGGCAGCAATGGGCACAGGGGCAATGCGCACAAACTTGGAGGGCAGGTTCAAGTTGGAGGAGGGCACCACCTGGGGCACGAGCGCGAAGGTCTGCCCCTGGATGTTGACTAGGAGCTGGGCAACCTTGACATTCTCCGGGGCTTGCCCAGGGGAAGCCGGCCCCATGCCCGATTCCTGCTTTACAGGCACAGGCTGTATCTGCAGCAGCACTGGGATGGGGCCATCAGGTGTGGGGCCAACACCTGGGCCCTGGGCACCTCCTATACTGGCACCACCTGGTGGAGGGGAACAGCGCTCTCTCCCGCTGGACCCAGGATGGAGGTGGCTCCTGTGTGGCCCAGCCGAGAGCTGGCTGCAGGCATCCAAGTCCTTGCTGTTGCCTTCTGGGGCCTCTTTGACTCCCGGCTCCATGTTCTCCTCCAGAAACTCTTCAATCTCCTCCAGGGTAGGCTGGAAGGGCCTTGGGACGTCATCAGGGTCACCCAAAGGAAACTCAGGGAAGCAGAAATGCTCCCCCTTCACAGGGGTCGCTGCCCTTCGCCACGGCCCCCAGGCCATTGGGCCACTGCTGGCACCGCTGCCCCCGCCACTGCCCAGCGTGGCCTGGGACAGTAGGAAGTCCAAGATGCTGTCCTGGCTCTTGGTGCCCGGGCCTCCACAATAGCAGGAGCAGAGGGCTTGAGAGTCGGGACTGGCACAGGAGCAGGGGCTGGAGGCATCACTGTCGTCTTCGGAGAGGGGTGAGGGCAGCATGTGATATGCCCGCTGGCTGACCAGCCTATCACTCAGATAACCAACTGAGCATTTTGGCGACGAGAAGTTCTCGTCCACTGGAAGCAAGTGGTCCACCATTCTGGCCTGGCCGTGCCGGTGCCGGCTATAAGGAAGGAACACAGGAGGCCTAGTCAGGACAGTGCTCACCTGCCACCTCGCAGGCCTCCGACCCCACCCTCAGCTGCCTGCCCACAGCCTCCCACTGCCAAACGCCTGGATCCTGCCTCCATCCCCCAGGAGAGCTGTGCCTGCAAGAGTGTTTTCTGAAATTGCACCACCTGTTTGCAAAAGAGACCTCTCCAATCCCATTGCACAACCAGAGGCACTTCTGGTTTCAAACAGATTTTCCGGAATTATCATGGAAAATAGCACATGTGTCTGTGAACAACTGAGCGTGGGTGAGTATAAGAGAAGGATGTGCACATGGGGGCTCTCTGGACCCCAGGAGGGCCAAGGCCCAGAATCAGTCCGCCGCCAACACCATAGGCATCACTGTGCATCTGAGGACTCCTGACCTCAGCTTTACGCCTGTTGAGTCACAGAATGGGGGTAGAACAGCCATTTGCCCTCTGACCCTCATGTTGCTGGGGCTTCCAGAGGCCAGATTACGCAAATAAAAATACAAGTCACCAGTTAAACTTGAATTTCAGATTTAAAAAATAAACTACTTTTAATATAAGTATGTTCCCAATATTGGATAGGACATACTTACATTTAAAAACTATTTCACCTTGAGGTTCAAATTTAACTAGGCTGCCTGCATTTTAACTGGGCAAGTGTAGAACAGAGGTAAAACAGTCAAAGACCAAGAAGCCCCTGCCCACATGGCTGTTTCCCCACCTGATGGGGAAAAGCTCCTCTACTCTCCAGTCCTCAAACCCCGCAGAGCCAAGTGCCCTGTGAGTGGCACAAGCTTGAACGCAACCCTCTCACTGCACCCTGATGCTTTAGCACCCTAGTGGCCAAGGCCCTGCCCCTCTGGTGATAACCCAGCCGACCACCAAGGGCCCAGAGCACCTGCAAGTGCATAACTGCTTTGGATTTCACACCCATCTAGTAGGAGAGGAGATAACCGCCGCCCCCTCCACCCAGCCCTTTCTGGCCAATAAGGAAGTGGAGTCCCCTGCACCCTCTGCCACTGCTGTCTCCATTTGGGACACTCACCACCTTGAGAAGGCTCAGCTAATGCCTGTCTCCCCCTGAGACAGTGCACTCCATGTCTCTGCTGTGTTCCCAGTGCCTGGACTGGCCCCTAGTGCCCAGGAAGGGCTCAAGAGAACTTTGATAGAGAAGAGAAGGGAAAGCTGTGTCCTTTGAAGTCAAAGGACATGCTAGGTCTGGTGTCCAAGGAGAGTCAATAGTGTCCAACTCTGACCAGGCCACTTCTGTGAACCTTTGCCCCTGCTCAATGACCACGGCGGGCTGGGTGTTTATCAAGGTTGGGGAAGGGGAATGTTCTGCACCAAAGTCAGAGGTTCTCTGCTGCCCAGCATCATCTCTACACCCAGCCCCTCTGTCTCCCAGACCCTTCAGGGCCTGGCACTGAGCACTGCCCAGTGGCCAATACCACAATCAGCTATGACCTTGGGCAAGTCCTTGCTCCACTTCCCAAACCTCAGTTCTGTTCCATGCTTCAAAGATCTCTAAGTCTCTTCCTGCTCAGGGACCCCAGGACCTTTGACCTCAGTTCCCAACTTACCCAGGAAGCTTCATGGAACTCCAGGAAACTAAGGCAAGGTCTGTGCCCCAGGCCAGTTTTGCTAGGAGGACATTTGGCTTTTTGGTTTAAATACTCAGCTAAGGATTTAAACCTGGAATGTGTTTTAAAATGCACCTATTCACAAAATCAGGTGCTGGGAAGGAATGAAAGTGCCAGACACTGTGAAGGGCACAAGGCGGGCAGAGCCCACACTCCACCCTGGGCCTCCCCCAAACCTTTCCGACCCTCCAAGCAGGGGATCTGTTCCTGAGTCTACGGTTTGTCTTCCAGGTGACTTTGGGCAGGTGCACAGCCTTTCCATGCCTGTCTCAGTCTGTGAGATAGGGGTGCTTCCAACAATGCCTGGTTCCTCAGGTGTTGTGAGAACCCCATGAGCTGACGCTTGCTAAGCACCCCCCTCCGGGTCTGGCACACTGGCAGCACTCATCCAGTGCCAGCCAATGGTGTCAGCCTGCAGGTACCGCAAGTGTGTTGCCTCTGCCCCTCTACTGTGATGTTAAGGAATAGGGGGCCTTCAACCCTCCTGGGACCCAGAGCAGGCCTTAGAGCCCTCCCCTGAAACACAATCACTAACTGGCCATCCCATGATATTAAGTAATTACTGTTAATATTTTTAATTGTGATAATGGTATTGTGGTTAAAAGAGGCCTTGCCTTTTAAAGACATAGATATTGACAGATAAAGTGATCTAAAAAGTACAGTAGAAGGGCTAGAAGGAAACGCCCTCCAATGGCTTCCTAAGGATGGGTGGCCCTATCTCCTGGCAGCACCCGAGTACTTGGCCCTCCTGACTCTTCACAGACCTCACCACCCACTGCCCCTCTCCTAGTCCAGGTGTGCTCACCTCACTTCAGCCTCAACTGGGGGCCCCTGCCCTGACTCTTCCCCCAGCACTGCAGGTAGGAGCTGCTTAGTTAGGTCTAGGCTCAGAATTCACCCCAGTGGGAGCCTCCTGGCCTCCCCGTTCGTTACATCACCCTATATTACACTCTTCCCTGCAGGTCCCACTGTGGGAAATTATCTTGGTTATGTGTTTGTGAACTTTGCTTCCTGTCTACCTTACCACCAGAATATCAGCTGTCGGGACTGTTCACTCCAAGGCTGTCTCCTAGAGTCTAAAACAGGGCCCAGCAGAATTTGCTGAATGAGTGAATGGAAGGTCCCCGGGGGTGGGGGTGGGGGCGGAGTCTAGGAGTGGGTGGCCCAGGTCAGGCAATAGGGTCTTAATGCTGAGATGAGCATCTCAAGGGGACGCACCCAGGCACTGAGAACCCAGAAAGGGTTCTGGGATGGCTCAGGGCACCGACATCAAAGAGAGGACACCCTAGGGCTGGAGCCGGCTCAACCCCTAAAACACAGGAGCACGTGGGGCGGCCAGAGGCACAGACTGCATGCAGGGGGAGGGGACACGCTGTTCCGGGCACAGTCCCCGGCTGGCCGCCGGACTCCGCCCCCTCCCCTGGCCGGGCCAGGCCTGCTGTTTATCCTCCCGGGGACACAGCGGCTGCAGGAACAACATGTAATTGATAACAAGCCCAGCGCCAGCCAAGGGCTTGCCATTGGGTCAGCGTGCAAATCACGGGGGTGGTGGAGGGGGCCGCCCTTCAAAATAAGAGTCCCGGGTCCCTGCGCCGCCCGCAGGCCCCAAAGTCGCAGAGTCCGGGCTTTCTCACACCTGTAGGGCGGCAGGGTCTCCCCAGGGGTCACCTGGTCCTGGGGGACAGGGGAAGGGAGATTTGAGGCACTCAGACATTTGGAGATTTTGTCACCTCCAAGGGCCGTGGGAGAAAACAGCCCCTCTGTACCCTCCGTAAGAGGGGGGGTTCCATGGGTAACACCACCGGGGGGAGGGAAGAGTGAACCGAATCACCATATGGGATGGGGGCAGCCTCTATGCCCCGCCGCGGCCATCCCTCGGCCAAGCCATGGCTTTGGTAATGTTCGGTCTGAGGGGACGGGGACTCAGCATGGAATGAGACGCGTGAACGGTGCGGGTGTGCGTGAAGGGGTGTGAGTTCCTGTCGTGTGACTGCGTGTGCGGGGCGTGGTGCGCGGCGGCAGCTGTGGCTGTGCGGGAGGCTGCCCGCGAAGTGCTCGCGCGGAGCCTCCGTGGGTGTCCGTGCGTGTAGACAAACGTGGGAAATGAACAGCCGGCTCAGACCCCTTCTAGAACCCTGGACCGCTGCCCGCTGGGCACCATGCCCTCGTCCCGCGCCCCCCTGTGCCCCCACCACTGCTGTGGTGACCGACAGTAACCCCTCCCTCTCCGGCCCCTCCGCCCCCAACCCTGGACCGGCCGGCGCGTCCGCTCGCCCCCTCCTCTCAGCAGGCCGCGCTGGTGCCCACCATATGGGAAGGCAGGCCCGCCAGGCGCGCCACGGAACCGCCCGGCCAGGCACCGAGGCGGCGGCGCGGGCCTCAGCAAAGTGCTGGTGGGCTACCGGGGTGGGGGGGTCACCTCCCCCGGGCTTGTCCGACTCCTACCCCCCTCCGCGGGAGCCCACCGCGCTCCTCCGATATTCCTCGGGCACTCGCGCGGTGCTTCCGAGAGCTGCGCGGGCGCACGGCCACGCGTCCCGAGGCCCGCCAGCCCCCTGATCACCCAGGGCCGCGTTCACTCGGCAGGCCGGCCCCGCCGCGCCTCTCCCACCTGAACTTGGCGCACGCCCGACCCGCGGCCAGGCCCCGGCGGTCCTGCGGCCGGGAGGGCTGGGCTGGGGGCGGCGGCTCGGCTCTCGGTCCGGCGGCTGCCGGGGGCCGAGCCGCGGGTACTGCGCTGGCTCGCTAGCCCGCCGGCCCGCGGGTCGCTGCGGCGGAGCACTAGCCCGCCCGCAGCTCGCTGGGCGCTCACTCCCCGCCACTCACGTGACGCCGCGGGCGCCGCGAAGGCTCGCAGGAGGCTCGGCCCCGGCCGCGCGCCCCATTGGCCGGCGCCGCGCGTCACAAGCCCCCGCCCCGCCCCGGCCCCGCCCCGGCCCGCCCCCGCTGCGCCCGGCCTTGCGCGGGGTCGGCGCTGGGATCCCGGAGCTGTGAGACGCGCTAGCTCCCCAATACGCTGCCTTGTCCTCGGCCTGCAGCCATCTCTTTGCCTCCCACCCCTCGCCACGGTCTCGCAGCGTCCACGAGGGTCGGCTTCTGAAGCTCGGTCCCCAGGTGAGAACGGGAGACGGGCCCCACGACTTATGAAAAGCCCTGAGATAGCCTCATAGAGCAGTCTGCGTGATTGAGGGATAAGCGCTGGGGAGCCTGTCTGGCCGGGCCTGCCCCACAACTCCACCTTCATCCCCAGCGCGGTACAAGCAGCTGTGTTCCCTGCTGAGTGCCAGATAAAGTAGGAGACTTGCCTAGGAGAAGGCATTTTTGGAGAAATACGGTATTGGTCTTTTCAGCAGGGCAATCAGTTACCCGCTGGAAAGTGTGCGCGCTCTGCGCTGCCACCCCGGCCTCTAGGACTATCTGAGGGGATTTGCTGACCCCCACCTGAAGCCAATGACACCTTGTCTCTGGGGCACATTTCTGAAGACCACATAATGCTTCACAGTCTACAAAAGCGTTCACAGACTGCTTTAGTCCACGTCAATCCTGGCTAGCTTTTGGGTTCCCGCTTAGAGGTAGGCAGAGTGAGGCTCAGAGTGGCTTGCCCAAGAGAAACGTGGGTTGTTGGTGCTAGGCACCCTGCTGTGCCCTTTAATCCACACTCCAGCTGGATCCTCAGCCAATCACTTTACAGTTGAAGAAACCGATTCAGAGAGGGCACCAGCCTTGCCCTGTCTCACAGCTGGGAAGGAGCAAGTGGAGAGGTAGAGCTAGGTCATCTTGCAGACACCCCCAGGGCACCTGTGCAGAGCTCTCCTACTCAGCTTCCTTCCTCTCCCCTCCTGGCACTGGGAGGTAGGGAGCATTGTCTCCTGCTTCTTCTGGAAGACATTGCTAGAGCAGGAATTTTTAACCAGACCCTTTCTAGGCTCTCTGGAATGCTGTGGGTCTGGGCTTGCTTAACCGGGGATATGGGGACACTCTCTGTACACCAAGTCAGTGCCAGGAATTCAGCTGCTGCTACCACCAGAAGCCAAACCACGGTTCAGCCAGAGGCCTTCAAGGACATTTGTGTTGAGAATGGTGAGAGGCTTTCTAATTCACAGAAGTTGGAATGACCACTTCTGGCATTACAGCAGCCCTAGCTAGCCTGGAAAGAACAGTGGAATTTGCCCATTTTTGTAAATGAAGAGATAGAGGCCTGTAAAGTTCAGTTATTCCTCATTTTGTCTCAGTGCAGGTCAGGATCGGGCATGACCACAGCACTTCTCCATTTGCCCTGCCCGCCCTTGGTCTTTACTCCTCACACACTCTCAGCCTAGTGCCTCCCATCCTCTTAGTGAAAGCTGCAGCAAAAGGTCAGAAGAAGCTTGGAAGCAAAGACACATCCTTAGCAGCTGCAGCACACAGGGAGGAGGCCCCACTGGCCAGAAATTGGATAACAGCCAAGATGGTCCTGTTAAAACCTGAGTCAGATCAGGTCCCTTCTGGGCTCAGAAGCTTCCAGTGGCTCCCAACTCACTCAGAGTAAGTAAAACCCAAGTTTTCACCACAATCTTTAATGCCTTACAGCTAGATACAGCATTTACCCCAAACCATATCTAAGAAGCAAATCTCCCTCAATGTAGTGGGGAGAAGCTATCATTGAGATTCCATGGCAGGAAGGAGAGATCAAAGCCAGGTGGTGCTCTTCAAAGCAGATGACAAAAGATTTATCTTCACAGCAGTGAAAACCTCTAAGGTTCTTTTCCTCCAAAGCAATTCCTTCCTTACTTCTATATAATCAAGTATAGACAAGGGCCTCGAAAGTGTATAAATTATATTGGTTAAATATTGTATGACCTTGCCTATAAAACTAATTGGGCCTGGTGCCTATTCAGAGTGATCTTTGCTCCATGCTTGAATTTCACATTTCACACATTTTACCAAGTTATGTCTGACTCTAGACTCCTTCTCTTTTTATCATTACTACTCTATGTTTGGTGTGTATCCTTTTAATATGGAAACTCATGTCTTTCTTCAGTTCAGGGAAATGTTCTTCTATTATATCCTGTTTCCCCCTAGACAGCTGCATGGATTCCTCCATTGCATATTCAGGTCTCTGCTCAGATGCCACCTTATCACAGACACCTTCCTCGTTCACCCCATCTAAAACAGCACATCTGCTGCCCTCAGTTTCCTGGTCTCTATTTATTTTGTTTCGTGATCCTGATGTTTATATTATTTATTGATTTGTTTCTTGCCTATGTCTCCCACTAGTTGACAAGCTCCTTAAGAGCATGGACTTGTATTTTTTTTATTCACTCCTATATCTCCAGGACTTGTATTTTTTTATTCACTCCTGTATTCCCAGCACAATTCCAAAACATGTTGAGGAAATGAGATTTTCTTCCAGCCCGGGTAAAACTTCCAGTGGATGTGGAGTCTTTGGAGAAGCTCTTCAAGGTCGGGCGCTCTCTTCCACAGCGCTGTAGCCACCAATCTTGTCCTCATCCCCTGTCCCACACACATACCTGAGATCTCCAGCCTCCCCGCTAGCTCCCACCTGCCCGGGGGTCTGAGCCCAGTCTGCTCTCTGCCAGGAAGCATTTTGAGGGCCCCATTCAGTGCCTCAATGGTCTGTGCACAAAGGGCCCGCTGTGGCCATCAAGCCCTGTGGCCTCCCACAGTGAATGACTTCTCACCCTTCCCAAGTGGGAAGCAACAATTCCCCCTATTCTCAGCTCCCATGTCTCCAGCCCTGCTTCAAGGGTCTCTGACCAGAGTCCCCTACCTTCTGACCAGCTCTTCCTCTGAGGGCTGGGGTGCTGAAGAGACCCTATCCATTCTGGGCTCGGGAAGTGGTTTTGAGCTGGGGGCTAGGGAATAAGCAGGCAGAAGGGCTGAGGGTGTCCAGCGGCCAAAAAAAACATACTGCAGGAGGTTGCTCAGGCTGGGCCAGACCCTTTCCCCACCAAGCAGGCCCCTGGTGCTGTGTAGACAAGAGGTCAGGTCTATTCTGACACCAGGGAACTCAGATGAGGGCCCACCCCTCTCTCATGACCAGTGTCATCCCCACCCCTAGCTCCCCAGCCCTGAGCACACCTAGCTCTGAGGAACATCAGCCCAGGGACCTGGGGACCTGACAGTCCAAGACAGCACAGAAAAGGGCTGAGTCCTGAGAGCCTCTGACCCTGGCTCTGAGCACTGGCAAAGCCCCAGGGACACCCCCGGCCTGGAGAATCCAGGAGCAGCAGGGCCTGAGGTTGGGTGAGAGCTCCAGCTTCCCCTGGTCCATGGACACACCAGTGTGGTTCTGGGGTCAGAGGGCTCCTTGGCTTCCCCTATCCCTGTCTCTGCCATGAACCATGGTCTCTCTGACGCCTGACAGATTTCCAGACAGGCAGGCAGCCTGGACCCCAGCCCAGTGGGGCTGTATGTGCACGGCAGCCTGGACTCTGGTTCTTCTGCAGAGTCCCTCACTCCTGAGTGGCCTTGGGCAAATCAGTTTGTCTCTCAGAGCCTCAGTTTCCTCCTCTGTAAAATGGGTGCTCAGACCCCTAAGCTACTTACCTCAAAAGGTTGTTTGAATATAACCAAAGTAAGAGATGGGAAAAAGCATTGGAAAGTACAGAGATTCAGTAGAGGCTGTTACCATTCCTTCCAGTATGTATTCACCGCTCCTGGACAGCTGTCCTGCCAGTGCCAAGCATTGCTATGGACATGAGATGCTGCTCATGCTGTCAGGGCCTCCTGAGATCCCAGTGCAGAGTAGGGGACCCAGCAGGATGACAGTGATGCAGGTGATAAGGACAAGTGTGAAGGGGACTATGGGTCCCACCCTGGGGGAATGCACTGGGAGCAGCAAGGAGCGGCACCGAGGAGCCAGGAGAGACCGCAGAGCAGGGCAGGTTAGCTCTGGGGAGTGGGCGTGGGTGTCACTCTCATGGAAGGCTGTGCCAAGCCTGGGAAAGACTAGAAGCGCGGGAAACAGTGGCCACCTTGTCAGTAGGACAAAAGCCATCGGATTCTCTGTCCCCTGTTAATCCAATTTCAAGCCTCCAAAACTGGTGTTCAGGCCATTCATTTGAGCAATTCTTTTAAAAATAACACCTGCACATGTTTTTAAAGTTCAAGCACTACAGAAAGGCATGAAATGAAAAGTAAAATTCTACCCAGCACCAGTGCCACCTACCACTTCTGTGTGTTGTTATTCTAAATAACGTTCCTGGGACGGGCACAGTGACTCACGCCTGTAATCCCAGCACTTTGGGAGGTCGAAGTGGGCAGATTGCTTGAGTCCAGGAGTTCCAGACCAGCCTAGGCAACACGGTGTTTTCACCTGTCTCTACAAAAATACAAAAATTAGCCAGGCATGGTGGCGTGTGCCTGTAGTCCCAGCTACTTGGGAGGCTGAAGTGGGAAAATTGCTTGAGCCCAGGAGGTAGAGGCTGCAGTGAGCCGAAATTGCAACACCACACTCTAGCCTGGGTGACAGAGCAAGACCCTGTCCCAAAAAATCAAAAAATAATAATAAATAAATAAAAATATGCCCATGTCTTTTGTGTCTGTACAAGAAGCATATGGCCCCACCTTGCATGCCAAATAGTGTCTGTGCCCCCAGAGGCACGGCTGCAAAGACCGTGAATATGTGCCTTTGATGTCCGAATGAGTTTGGTCTGTGGGAGGCATTGCCAAGCTACTGGAGTATGGGAGGAATGTGAGGTTCAGTGTGTTCCCCTGGCTGGCTCCCCATGTGTCACCATTACTGGCTATGTCCCTCTACCTATGGCCATGGCTTCATCAGGCAGCCTCTCCTAGAGGTGCCTTAACTCCTAACCCTGCCCATGTGTCTATAAATCTCTCCTGTGTTAAAGGCCCCTCAATCACCCTGTGGCAGTGTCCGTGTGCCCTGCTGGAGCTGGGCCAGCGTGCATCAGTCTTGCAGCTATTCAGTCTCTGTCATATTTCAAGATGCAAATCACATTTCTTTTCTAATTTGGACTGGTGTTTTTTAAACCTTTTGAAAAGTCACCCTCAGATTTCTTAATACCATTGTTTTTATGGTTATAATTGATTATGATTATGATTGGGTTTCTGTCTTATTTTATTTGCAGTATATCATCAAGTAATTTTTTCAGTAAAAGTGCTTGGAAGATAACCTTTCTGAGACTTTCCATGTCTAAAAACATCGTTAATTTGCGGTCATACTTTATTGATAGTTATGGAATTCTAGATTTAAAATGATTTCTGCTCAGAACTTGAAGGTATTGCTCCACTGTCATCTGGCATCCGGTTTTGCTTTGAGATGTTTGATACCAACTAGAATTTTATTCCTTTGAAGGTGCTTTAGTCTGAATATTTGTGTTCCCTTGAAACTCACATGTTGAAATCCTAACCCCCAAGGTGACTGTATTAGAAGGTAGGGCCTCTGGGAGGTCACGAGGTCACATGGTAGAGCCCTCCTGAGTGGATTTATGCTCTTATAAAGGAGGCACCAGAGAATCCTTCATCCCTCCCACCATGTGAGGCCACAGGGAGAAAATGCTGTCTTAGTCCATTTGTACTGCTATAAAGGAATACCTGAGACTGGGTAAATGATAAAGAAGACTGGGTACGGTGGCTCACGCCTGCAGTCCCAGCACTTTGAGGGGCTGAGGCAGGTGGATCATGAGGTCAGGAGTTCAAGACCAGCCTGGCCAACGTAGTGAAACCCTGTCTCTACTAAAATACAAAAATTAGCCAGGTGTGGTAGTGCGCACCTGCAGTCCCAGCTACTTGGGAGGCTGAGGCAGGAGAATGACTTGAACCTGGGAGGTGGAGGTTGCAGTGAGCCAAGATCCTGCCACTGCACTCCAGCCTGGGTGACACAGCGAGACTCTCTTGAAAAAAAGGCGGGGGGGAAGGAAAGAAGGAAGGAGAGAAAGAGAGAAAGAAAGAGAACAAAAGAGGGAGAAAGAAAAAGAGGGAAAGAATGAAAGAAAAAGAAAGAGAGAGAGAAAAGAGGTGTATTTGGCTCACAGTTCTGCAAGTTGTACAGGAAGCATGGCGCCAGCATCTGTTCCTGGTGAGGGCTCAGAATGCTTCCACTTTTGGTGGAGGTGAAGGGGAATCATTATGCACAGAGGTCACACAGTGAGAGAGGAAGCTAGGTTAGGGGGAGGTGCCAGGCTCTTTTTAATAACCAGCTCTCTAGGGAACTCACAGAGAGAGAACCCACCCCCTTTCTCCCAGAGACAGCACTAATCTATTCATGAGGGATCCACCCCCTTGACCCAGACTCCTCCTGCTAGGCTCCACCACCCCATTTCCACGTGAGATTGGGAGGAGAGGGTCAAACATCTATCTATGGCCAGCACCATCTATGAGCTCGAGGGTAGGCCCTCACTAGGCTGAATCTGCCTGCTCCTTGATCTTGGACTCCCTGGACTCCAGAACTGACAGAAATACATTTCTGTTGTTTTTAAACTACCCAGTTTATGGTATTTTGTTATCGTAGCTTTAGTGGACTAAGACAGAGGCTACCTGTTTTTTTTTCCTTTCTCTAA